AGAAAAATGAGATTAAATGATCAAGTATTTCACATCAAGAGTGAGAAAGGGGGGTGGCTACTTCTTAAATCCCAATCAAATAAACATAGCCCAACAGTGAATGTATACAATCAGTGAAACTTAGCTGCCATGTGAGAGGAAGTGAAGAAAAAAATTAAGTGGCTGCCGGAATCAGCCTCATGGCGGAAAAATACGATTACCTGTGATCTGGCCTTGCACCGCCACGATCTAGCCCAGATCGAGGTGAACACCCCAAGTCGCGCAGATCTAGAGCGTGGTAGCTTCTTTCTGTTCCAAACAAAGATCGAAGCCGCCGAATTTGTTTCCGGTGGCTGTGATATCTTTTTTATGACTTTGATCTACTGAAATTTTTTTTTTTTTTTTTTTTTTTTTTTTAGTTTAATCCAAGAGAGAAGAAGAAAGAGGGAAACAAAGAAATGGAAGAAAAGAGAGACGAAAAAGAGAGGAGGAAGTGAAAAAAAAAAAAAAAAAAAAAAAAAAAAAAAAAAAAAGAGAAGAGAACGGAATACGGAGAAAGTTGTTGTATCAATAACTCCTTGATATGTACTTCAAGAATTGTTGTGGAAACTTTTTGAGTTGATGAACTTTATGTTGAATTACACTGAGCATCATTTTGATAACATACCCAAGCTTTCATCATAGGAGTTTGATGGTATACTGGCGGTTCAGAGTATCAACAGGGTTCTTCCTTGGCCTTCCCCTAGGCCTTTTACCAGTTGAAATCCCTGCAGATTCGAGGCATTCTGATGCTAGATGTTCCAATTCTTTCCACTCCATTTGGTCAAAAATCGTAACACTGAAAAACATTTTTCCATCATAATGGAAAACAGAAATCCTTGATCCCAAAGAGTTACCTCTGACAAATGCCGGCCAACCATCCTCCATAAACACATCGTTTCCGATGATCTTCACTTTAACCGTCCACAACCCACCAGAGACAAACTCAACAGAGTCTGACAGAACAAAGTGTTTAAAACTCAACAAGAAGGCAGTTGAAACTATTTTGAAGTGCATTAGTACAATTATTGGAAGATAAATGCAGAGGTAAATGCCTAGTGCATGCACAGACACCTGAAAACTCATTTCCATTTCCACACACAAAGAGGATGAAGGAAATGAGAAGAAACTGTGCATACTATGGAAGCGTAAGTTTTCTTTGCAGGCTCGGCCACAGATTCATCAACACAAGTTCTTAATGTGCTTAAAACTCTGCAGAATGCTTTTTTACTTTAGACTGGAAATATTCCTGCAGGTACCAGCTTGGAAATTTTACCCCCCTACGGTTTTCTCTCAGCCTAAAAACCCGTATGTTGTTTGAGAGTTATCTCTCATTTCCCCTGGTAAATATTATCGACGGCTATGTTTGGCTTAGTATTTTTATCCATATTCTGGATCCTATTCTCTAAATAATGTTTGGCACATTATTCTAGAAATATTACCCTATTTTTTTAATTACTTTTAGACCCATAAGGTTATTAATTTCACTAAATGCCCCCTGAAAAAAAGTTTAAAAATTAACAAAAACACCCCCATCAACCCAACTTGTCAGATTCTGGCAACCACCGTCCGTGATAGCTGGAATCTGTACAACGGCCTAACTTCCGACCAGAAATGGCCAGAAGTTCACCAATGTGGCCTTTTCCGGCCAGATCCACCATGGATCTGGCCGGAAAAGGCTAGATCTGGCCTTCAACGACGGCCAAAGAAATGGCCGTCGTTGATCGAAAACGACGGCCACATCTTTGGCCGTCGCTAACGGCCAAAGATGACCATCATTTGGCCTTTTCTAGCCGTCGACGTCCATAACAGACCGTAGATTTGGCCTTTTCCGGCCATATCCACCATGGATCTGGCCGAAAAAGGCCATAACGAAGTGTTATAGCACAGATAAGACCGGTCTGTGCTGTAACAAAATTTTCCAGCCAGATTCCAGCGGTGGTGGCCGGAATCTGGCACTGTAGGTGGTGGGGGTGTTTTTGTCATTTTATCTGTTAGGGTCTTTAATTAAATTAGTAAACCTAAGGGTTTTTTTACAAATTTTTAAAATTTACCTCGTAATACTCCCCTATCCAATAACTCAATACTATCCCCAAAATCCTATCCAAAATACTAAACCAAACGCACCCGATACTTCCTTTAAGATTTTGCTTAATCATAATAGAACTCTCGTCGACAGAGAAGGTTAGCGAAACTATCAGGGAGGTTAATGATAATCTTCGAAACATAAGGAGTGTTTGGGAATTTACACTGAAAGTGAGGGGAAAATAAGCAGTAAATGAAGATTTGCATAATCTTTTATTAAAGACATTTCTACAACCTTATAATAAAATAGAAACTCATTCGGTCATTCTTTTAACAAGTAGCGTTAAACAAGGAAGTGGATTTAACGTTATGAAAAATGTTATCCTTACAAAGATTCATACAAAGAGGGCTACAATGTGACATCAGCAAGAAGAAAAAAAAAAACGGAAAAAGAAAAAGAGAGAGAGAGAAATCATGAACATCAAGGGTAAGGATTGTCTTTGTATGCTCCCTTTGTATATGTCTTTGTAAAACTAGTATTGCTCTTAACGTTATTTACATGTTTAAGAACAATAAAACCTATTCAAGGTTTTGATTTCTCACCCACGTTGATGGCTCATTCAATTGACTGTTGAAAACGCTCTCACTTTAAGGATAGAAGTGAACTAATGGAAATCCACACAAAGGCAACACTCCATACACAACCAATTTACTAGAGTGATTTATGTAGTTTGAAGAAGAAAGGAGTTAAAAGAAAAATTTTAGAGAAAAATTTTCTCTCAACCTTTAGCTTGGGGAGCAGTTCAAGGGTTATGGGACATACGGGGAAAGGTGCCCTTTTATAGGCCAATCCTAGTCTCCTCTTTTTAGGATATATTCATCTAATTAAATAGTTAGAAATAACTCCATTTGGTACATTATTTTTATCTATATTCTCAATCCTATTCTTAAAAGATTGTTTGTTTTGTTATTTGAGAAATATTGGTATATTTTTTTAATTACTTTTAAACCCCTTAAGTTTATTGATTTCATTAAATAACCCCAGAAAAAAATTAAAAATTAACAAAAACACTCTCACCCAGGCACCCACCCATACCTGCCAGATTCCTACAACCACTATCGGTGGTAGCCGAAATCTGTCACAACGACCTACAAACGATCAGAAATGGCCAGTAATTCACTCATCTGGCATTTTCCGGCCAGATCCACTGGAAAAGGCCAGATCTGACGGCCAAAGAAATTATTATCGTTGACAGACAACAACGGCCATATCTTTGGCCTTCGCTGATGGCTAGATCTGGACTTTTCCGATCGTCGACGGCCATATCTGGCTGGAAAAGGCCATATCAACGCCCTATCCGCTAGATTCGACCGGTCTACGTCGTAACACCATTTTCCAGCCAGATTTCGGCAGTGGTGGCCAGAATCTGGCACTGTGGGTGGGTGGGTGGGGGTATTTTTGTCATTTTACAAAAAATTTATATATTTGGGTGTTTAGTTAAATTAGCAAACCTAGGGGATTTTTTTGAAAATTTTTAAATTTTACCTCGTAATACTCCCCTATTCAACTACCTAATATTATTTTCAAAATCTTATCCAAAATAATAAAACAAACTGAATGATTTTGGAAGAAATTAATTAACTGGGTATTATGTAATTATTATTTTATTCATCCAATAATAATTATTCAATATTTAAAACATATATATATATATATTATATATATATATTAATATATTATAATATATATAATATATATAATATATATCAAATGATTATTTATTTATTAGAATATATATCGAAAATATATATATTTAAATAAATATTCAATTACTAAATTAAATCCATACTGTTTCGGATCCAGACAACAACATTTCCAGCAAATTTAATTGCTCCGTAAGATTACCAAATAACCTCTTTATCTATAAATGACAAAAATGTCCTTACTCGTTATTTTCTCTAAATTGTCTTTTGAATGTGTGATCCATAGGCTCTTCATCATATCGGCAATGAATAATATCCTGATTAACAACCTATTATTGAGATTCTTAAAAACCCACATCATTAAAAAAAAAAAAAAAAAAAAAAAAAAAAAAAAAAAATCTTATAATAGCATAAAACGCCGTCATAAAGTGCATTTCAAAATAATCGACAATAGAAGAAAGTATCATAATAACTATTTTATTTTTTTTTAAATTGTTTTATTATTTTAATTTCACTTCATGGATAATAAAAATTTTAACACCAATTCACCTAAGAATGTATTTCCGAAATAACAGAAACATTTTCTGTTATTTTTATACTCATAATACCACCAACATCCTTAACCGTTTATAAGACAAGACCACCTAGACTGCCGGTAACCGTTTCCCGCGTCTTATTAGTCCTAGGTTGTTCCCCTGAAACAGTTCTGTTTGATATTCCTAGAATTCATCATAACAATCCAACAAAATCTTCCATTTCACTTTAATTTAATCACCACTAAATCAACCATTAATTTATTTTCTGAAAATTATTGAATCCTTGACTAAACCGATTTGACAAAAGCTTCTCAGAGCATCAATGGAGAAACATTGAAAGCTATTCCATCTGGGGTAACGTTATTTTATTTGACTTAATATGTTTTTTTTCTTTTGGTAATGTTGGTTTTCAACGAATTAAGGGGCTGGTCTTGGCTGAAGAAGATGAAGATGATGTTGAGAGATTTGAAGGTGGTGGTGGTGGTGTGGTGGCGGTGGTGGCGGAGATGATGGATTTTGCAGATGCAGATGATAAAATGTTGTTTTCAGTCCTTGTGAGATGCAAAAGTAAAGGATTTGATGGCTTCACATTGGGGCTAGCGTTTTCAGCAAAAGAATCATTTTTTCTCGACAAACGCAACTTTCACCCTGTGATAGTCGCTCAACTGGTCACTAAACCTGCCCAACTCGCCGTTTCCGGCCAGAGTCGACGAGATTCCCTCCTTACCATCGAGAACCCCACCTTCAATCCGGTATATGTATATAAATACTCAACTTTTTTTTTTTTTTTTTACCTAGGGTGTTCGGGCTAGCTTACACGCACCTTAACTAATCTTCCGACTCTGAGCAAAGCTTCCGAAATAGGGCAAACCCTGTGTTTCGTGGCTAAGAATATTAGCGACCGTTCTTATGATTCGAACCTGAGACCATAGGGGAAGCAAGTTATACATACTCCACTTTGTTTCCAATCTGAGTGAAATACATGAAATTTCACCAGGGCATATTACAATTACAATATGTTTTGTCTTTTCAGAATTTGGCAGGCGGGTTCGTGGTGGCATTTGCCGGAAGAAAGTATGCAGCAAGATCAGTTCCACAGATGATTTCCGACAATGATAACACAGTTACTACTTTAACATTGGTAAAACTCATCAAACATTAAATGTAAATAATTCTTTTCTTGATTTTCTCCTCCAGGAAATAATTTTATTGTATTGTATTGTATTGATTTCTGCAGGTCCTGGAATTCCATGAGGGTACTCTGCAGAACTTGCATTGGAAAAGCTTCGGCTGCGATTCGTGCGGCGGAGATGCCGGTGTCTGCCTCAACAACACGGTGTGTGCAGTACCGAATACCAAGTGCAAAAATTTGGGGGCATCGGCGGATTGCAACCTCAGCATACAGTTGACGTTTTCGGGCACCGATGAAAGTAGAGAAGTGCTGAATTCATGGTATGAAGTGGAAAATCTTCGTAAATTTTCTTTGTTTGATTTGTATGCCAATGTCCGTGATGCCATGCCCGGCATGCCAAACTGAAAAGCGCTTTTTTTTTTTTTTTTTTCCCTATATATATATAGGCAGACTAGAGTTCAGTATCTGTACTTCTCCAACACTGCCTAGATTTCTGAATTAAAACTCCATAACTACTGTAATTCTGAGCTAATTTTGATCATAATTTACAACCTCTTCTCACAACCTTAATGTGACAACTCGCAAATTGACAGACGAGACTCATAGCAAACATGCAAAACCCATTTATAAACTGATTAATCGCGAGTTGTCACGTCAAGATTATAAGAGAGTTTGTGGAAAGAGATTATGACGTAGTATTACTCTTTGATCATTCTCTTTGTCAATTTCATTGTGGAGTTTACAGTATTACAAGAATAGAGTTCAAATACGGAAGAAAAAGCTGAGCAAATAATTGTTTCTTCACTTTCATTTTGTTCATTCAATCGGCTGAACATAAAATATTTAATGTGCCCTTATGTTATAACCTATCTTAAATCAAAGAAAATCTCAAACTACTTGGCCATAATGAACAACGACCACCTTATGATTATCGATTGAAATCACGATAAAATAAAGCAGGAAAAATGTGTAATTCAAATTGTTTAACTCATCGATATTGATAGAGATTTTCGTTTTAAAATTGCAACTAAATTATGATAATACATAGTTAAAATGAACGTTGACGATGAATGATAATGAAAGAATATCATTGGTAGTCTCATCAGTATTTGTAGACTATGCATGATACAAAAATCCCCTCTAATGGGGTATTTGCTTGAGTGATCTGAAAGTATTCACAAACGAGCATTTTTTTTTTCTTTCTAATTTCTATACAGGCTCTAATGTACAATTGTGTACAATTGAATGGGAGATGCCAAGCTATTTCCAGAGTCCTAAAAAATTTCCATGTATCTAACCAGTCCTGATTCTCACTTGTCTATATTATGATATTCACATGCACTATCATTGAAAATACTCATGGCGCATAGTGACCAGATCATGCCGAGCGAGTGAAAGTTAAGGCCTTACTATGCAGGCGGAACACGCATCTTCTCATGAAGATTTAGTATGAGATCCCGCAACTCGGGGAATACCGATAGGATTATGAGTTCAAGTATCCCGTATGCAAGTTGCTTCACACATACAGAAGACTGCAGTAATCATAAATTATAGAGGTTATGTCAAATTAGACCATCAAAGGACAGAAAAACAATTTATAAGCACAGGAAAAAAGAGAGAAAAAACAAGTGTTGCAACACATGGCACAATCGAGTGAGGGGACTAACCTGAGTAAAATAATATATGTCCTTGGCACACCGCTTGTACTGCTTAGGCCCAATCAAGCTGACCAAGGTAGTTGGAGCTCCCTCTGACAAAAGGGAGAAAATTGTTGAGTTACAGGCTAGTCAAGTGGTTAGTAGAAAAAATTAGTCAAGTAGTTTCCTGGTGGCACAGGGACCCGCAAATCTTCACAACAATAGAGAAATCATGATAAGCCAAAGAAAGGAAATAAAAACAGAGTGCAAGGTTCCCAAATTTATGCAGAAATTGTGCTCTCAGTATGATTACATGGGGATATTTTCATGACACAGAATTTCAGACCACTTCTAAATCTCAGTTCTATTAACTTTGCTTGTGCTGGTATCCATGTTCAATTTCTGCCAAAGATCATGGTTTGACAAATAACTTATGATAACTATACCAAAATTGTCGATGAGAATTCAAAATTTGAAGAATTAGTTTCTCTTCATCGGGTGAGCAAAGAGGTTCTTGATCGATCTGGAAACAGAAATTTTGCTTGGTGATGTGAGGTAAAAGTCCAGACTACTTAAGCCTAAGGCATGAATTCAAAAACAAAACAGTATCCAATATTGCATAGTCAAATAAGCAAATAGTAACTCTGAAACAAGTTAAAAGAAACAAAAGATGTACTGGTAGACCAGAAAAGCAATCTTGAAGAAATGAAATTTGCAAAAAATACCACAGGCTGACAATCGAGGTAGAAGTACAAAATAAGTGACCATGAATAAATGTAGGTCTTTATAGAGAAGAATAACTTACCTAAGAGCATTTTCTTGACATCACTTGCTCTCCGAGCAGCTTCAAGTTGTTCCTCAAAGGACACTGACTTTGAGGCCCTATGGCCACCAGACTGATTTCCACCCTGAAAAAAGTTCAGGTCTGCTTGAGCATCATCAAGTTTGCTTTGAATATTCCCCACTCTTGTAAAAAATGTGCCACCCGGCCAGAGAGCCTGAAAGGAATCTATAATTAGAAAAATGAAACAAAACATGAAATCTACAAGTAGAGCTATGATTCTCTATAATTAGTTCAGTCCTTACATCTTGAATCCACCAAATTCCTTGAGCAATAATGTCTTCCCTTCGAAGCCAATAAATTTGTCTCAAAAGCCAGTCGTCAATAGCATCTTCCATTACCAGCTGCAATATTTGCTTTGATATCCAAAAGACCTGTCTTCTGCATCAAACAAAATAAGCACATACCAAATACCAATGATTAACTGTTGCAGGATATATCAAAGCTCGATACTGCTGCAATATGTGTGATACTATAATATCACTGCCAAAGACAAGACAACTGCATGCAGGCAAGAGGAATGGAGATAGTAAACCTAGAAAGGTGAATAATTTTCATGCACATGTAATGTATTTGTTCACGTAAAATAATTCCAACTAACAATACGCTAACCAAGAAAATCCAAAAAGAATATAACAGAAGGAATATTCAAAAAGTAAAAATTCAATGCTGCAAAGACTGTACATTTAATGTCTAGGTTCATGGAGTATGCAGGTAGAAAGAGATTTAAAGTAGCAACCTTGAAGCATCAGATAATCATTTATATACTGAAAAGAACATGAAGGTAGTAGCACAAAAACCACACAAACAAAAGGAAACCAAAGGACAGCTTCTAGACAGAAAATAGCAGGGGAAAAATGATCAAGTTACAAATGCAAAAAACAAAAGCATAGAAGAGATCTAAGAAAAAGAAAAAAAATAACCAAAAAGAAAAAAAGCAGATGGTTATACTTGATTTATTACAGTCTCATTTATTAAATTTAAACTAGGATGGTTATACACTCCATACTGAATCTCCACTCTAAAATAACACATCCATCATATTGATGTAGGACGGTTATACTTGATTTATTACAGTCTCATTTCATTTCCATTTAAACTAGGATTCATTTTGATTGTTGATTTCTATTGATATTAGGACTTCTATTGTGCTCGGGATTTGTGTTTGATTTGGTTACTAGTCTAAATCTAAAAGCATGAGAAGCAGAGTGCATTGGCAGAATATCAAAATTTTGAAGCAAAAAATGAATTCACGATATCTGGAAAAAATAAAATGCTTTACCCACCTTAGCCAGCCTCTTCTCTTCAGCTGAAAAACCGTATCAACCAGATTTAACAAAGGTACACTTACTTTAGATGGAGTCCACTGCATGAAAATCAATAATAAATATTACTAACATCTCCAGATATGCAATCAGAAAGAATAAGTCTCTCAAATAAGTAAATAAAATAACACTTAAAAATGCCAAAAAGGAATATACAAGAGGAGAACAACAAAAGAAAAAACTAAAAATAGAAAATACTGCTCAACTCTAAAGCAAAGCAAACATCATATATGCTTAATTAACCAATCAAATAATTACTTGAATCATCATCATTGCTACTACCCCACCCTTTATCATCAATATTCTTATACTCAAAATCTTTAAGGTCATAACTGCATCTTCAGGATAGTATACATAACATGCTAGTTAACATCTATGCAAGCTCCTAATGTCACTAAAATAGTCACTCCAAAAACCTTAAATCAACTACCATTGAATATTATCTTTTGCGATCATAATTTTCTCAACCTTGCAACCAACAGCTCCCATTCCCCTGCCCCCAAAAGGAAATACATAAGAGAGAGAGAACAAAATGAAAGTGATGACAATGATAGCACTGTCTTGAGTCACTTTATATTTAATCTCTGCCCAATGTTAATGGTAAAGCAACAAAATCCAGCAGCCTAGTCAGATCCAAGAAAGAAAAACAACTAAGAACTAGTTTTATGCTACATCAAAAAAAGACAGGTACTTCAAGAAATATCAAGTAAAACGAAAATGATTCCAACGAAATGCATGATACCTCTGGTGGCATTCCAATTTCTAAATGATCAGGAGTTGCTGAAAATTTGGCTGCAGGCAATCCACCCTGGGCAAACCCTTCAGATTTTGCATCTGAACTGTGTTTTCCCGACAAATCTAGGTTTCTAGCACCTTCACCATGTTTCAATACCCGAGGTGGAAAACCCTTTGAGTTCAATTCATTGTCTGAATGCCAACCACTAGCTTGTGCACCAGATGTGACTTTCTGATGGCCATAGCTTTCGTCTTTATCACCTTCTTCATGGTCAGAAAAGCTATTAACTGTTTCAGAGGTACTTTGCCTTGTAACATGTGTACTTATCTCATCTGCCTTGAATGAAAAGTTTCTACTGGATGAGGAGGAAGAGGCTTCATCACAGTTAGGAGATGAACCCACAACTTTCTTCATTAAGCCATCTGAAACCCCTCTAAACTGGCGTACAATATCATCCACAGCATCATCCACATTGACTGTTTCATATAAATAAAATTTCACAAAAAAAATAAAAAATAAAAAAGATGTTCTATGAGAGTGAAAAGCAGAATGATCATACAATTGAATAAATCTGCCAAATCAAAATTAAATTTCAGAAAGCAATGAGTTCAAAATCAAGAGAATTAAAACTTCCTGAAATACAGTTGTCATAGGATATCAGCAGTTTTTTTTTTTTTTTTTGGTGGCTAAGAATCAAATATAGGATATGTTTCAGTAGTGAAACTTTAAGGCAATTTCCTAGAAGTAAAATAGCTACATTCTACAACAGGATGTTCAACACCCACGGTGAGACACATATAAGCCTCTACAAGTACATACAGGAGGTAGCAACCCCTAAATCAAAATCACAAAAAATTTATTTATGCAGCAGCCACATGTGCCTCTGTGTGTGTGTGTGTGAGAGAGAGAGAGAGAGAGAGAGAGAGAGAGAGAGAGAATTTGACAAATTGCAAAGAACATAGTCATCAGGAGCAGACCACTATTACAAATAAACAAGTGCATATTTTAAAAGAGTGATAAAAGAAGGTAGACCAAAAAGGGTAGGCATCAAACCTCCATTCAAAAGTGGAAATCAAGTCCCAGATGAAAAAATAAGTAAAAAATAACATAAATGTGACAAACTGAACATATGAAAAGACTGAAGAAAAACTAAAAATCAATAAAGTAAGCCATTTCTAAAATAAAAAGAAAGCTCTATCTTTCTTGGATTTTGATAAAATTAAGTATGAGGGGTAGGAGGGAGAACTATGATGTTATGGTCAGATGCAGAGTATCAGAAAACAGCAAACGACAATTGGGAAGAAGCAAAGCATAAGGTTAAATCTTAAATAGCATCCCAAATGATTGATGCTCATTTTGAAAACCTCTAAACAACAAACAGCTAGGGTAACATACAACTAATAACAAAAAATAAATAAATAAATAAAAACCACATACCTGCCAGGGTTCTCATCACTGATGAAGATTTTCCAAAAGAGTAATTCTTCAAAGAAAAAAAAAAAAAAAAAGGAAATTATCATGATTCAGATAAGACTCAGCAAGTCAGTGATGGTATGTTCAACTAAAATTAAAGCACTAAATGTCACAACGAAGCACACCTTTGAGGCAACACTTAAAAAATCCCACACTTCATGCTGTTCAGCAACATTAGCTATAGATAGGAGATCCTGCATATAAAGGCAACAAAGTTTAAAGCAACAGGGAAAAAAATAACATTCTGAAGAACAAGACAGAAGAGAACTGATAATACTTGCAGATATTTATCAAGCTGAATACAGCGTTGATGAACAAAGGCGTCCTCAGTGCTTGAGGAGAATATCCTTTTGGGAGGTAGATGTAATGTGTAATTAGGGATTTCTTTAAGATGTCGATGCAGTCGCTCAAAATTTCTATATCTGAAAACAGACAAAGAAAACAAGAAAGAGTCAGGTAGCCTTTTGCAACCAAAACATCATTGTGCTTATCAGAAAAATTAAACAAACATAAAAGTGTCAATCATGAAAAAGGCAAGAATTAAACCTTCTTTTCACAAACCAAGTTCTGTTTTCTGAATCTGTCACTGCAATTGAATAAACTGCAAAAGATTTTGATCCAAGTTTCTCAAAATAAGCTCCTATAACCTGTATACACATAAGTAAAAAGGGTATAAGGTTCAACCACGATTTGAAGAAAGTGTCAATCATGAGTATCTACATACATAAACTCAAGAAACAGCTCTTTTCTTAAAACTGTACAAGACAAGGATTCTACCAGCAGTTCATTTTCTAACGCGCACAACAATCTTTAACAAAAAAAAGGACATGCTCACCCGGCACTTAAGCTTGTGAACATGTTGTCGCTCATTCTGGACTTTTATATCAGAGGCACTCGTACCCCTATATTCTTCCCTACGCCTGCCAAAATCTTGGCTGTAGAACTCAGCAATAACAGGCCCTCCACTATCTCCAGTAAAAACCTTTTTGGCTTCAGGTAGGACTTTAAGAGCAGAAGTACTACTGGATCTCTTAAGCCTATTTTTATTTCCATCAGCACCAAGATTATTAATATCTTCCAACACAGCAACAACATGTCCCTCATCAAATGACGATTGTTTATCAAAAATCTGGTGCAAATGTTTCATATTTTCATTCCCATCACTTAATTGAGTGTTAGGACCTAATCCCGCTGTTAGCTGTAACACAGCTTTATCATCTGCTCCAGCACATGGCTCAGTCCTGCTGCTAGACATTTCCTTCCCCATAATTCCAGTAGCCACAGCACTATTTATTCCTGAACCTTTAGCTACATGTTTTTCAACTCCTGCTTTTACACTTTTCTGCTCTTTCCTCTTATAATTTCTTCCCTTCGTCCACATGTTCTCAAGATTTTCAGGGGTAAGAACTTCATCTCTTTTTTGGGTGACAGCCTTCAGCACTTGTGCCCAATCACATGAATGCAGAGGCATAGCTTCCTGGTATCTGTTGTTATCCAAAGATGTTTCTCTTTGATCATCGAATTTAACCAAAGTCATATCTGTCCCTTGATTATTCAAAGAAGAATTTTTTTTTGATGGAAAATCTCCCTTATATACTCCCCCTGGAGACTGATGACTGCCTACCTCTTTAGTGCTATCATCTCTAATTGAAAGTAAAATGATTTCAATCAATTCGTTGATACACCTGGCCAATGAGATATTGTTATCGGATGGTTAGCTATTGCAGTTAAGTAAAATAATCAATTCAAGCTTTATTTAAATGACAATGAATGTAACATTTATAGTATTAAGTAATGAATATCGGGGTTGTAATAATGTCCATGACAGAATATTAGAATTATTTCATAATTATATGTTCCATTTGGAAATTAATATGTTTAAAAAGAAAAAATGAATAAAAGAAGATGAAGTCAGATCAAAGTGGTCCAGGTCCACGACCGATACTCCCAATCCTACCAAATCTCATAAAAAATCAATACAAAAGTCCTATCACAGAGGTCATAATGCAGAATGATTGACGACAACGTGCTTGTTTAATTTTCTTGTCTTTCTTAAGATTCATATAGAATTTAAATACAGTCATTCTTAGTTCTTACGCCTTGAAAGAACTGAAATCTAAATAATTCTCAATCTAATCTCCACCAACACCATACACTTAGGACTAAAGTTGTCCAATCTTCAAGCACAAACTAAGTGAAAATGTATACTAACAATTTTTAAAAATTAAACATTTTGCAACCAAACCAAGCATAAAAGAAAAATATTAAAGCTGTAAATTATTGAACAAAAGGAACAAGAATTATTATAAAACTTACGCTGGACTTGCTAAATCCATAATAGGTTGCATCACTAAACAAGTTACAAGCTCCCTAGCAATTGTTCGAACAATGGGGCACTGAGCTTCTCGTTGTCTTAATACCACAGCTAGCACTCCGGTTATTATCCGTTGAAGAACCTAAGATACAGTAAAAAAAATTTAGAAGGGAATGCAAAGATTGGTAGAGATAAAACTGAAATTTCAAGAGAACTCTCCGCTCAGACCTTGTACTCACTCTCAGGAGATATCAATGCCGGATGAAGCTCCTTAGAAACCATAAGATGATGTTTCAACCTTTCATCCCGCTCCTCAGAGGACAGCATTCCCATAACATCAACACCAATAGCAGCTTGGTTTCTTCTAAAAAGATCTAAGTGTTCCCCAATTAAATCTACTATATCTCTGAAACATAACAACAGCAATTAGATCATATTATTTAAGTGTCCGACTAATTTCAATATTGACAAAAGTTTCATAAACTCACAAAAATTTTACTTCTTTTCTTAAAAAAAATAATAAAAAATAAAAAATTCATATATACCTTGTTAGCAGGTCAACAAGGTTTATCTCTTTGACCCTTCCTGATATTTCACCGATAGCATCCATGATTATGGTTCGCATTAGCTCTGGAACCTCCTTATCCGGAGTAATTTCTGAATACCATAAATCAACAACAAAATCCTTCAAAATTTTATTTATAAAATCATTAATTGCAGCCTCCACGATAGGAGAATCAATTTTCCGCTTCCATCTTGGCGGGGGAGGTGCATTAGAAAGCCTAAAATCATTGGCAGACAACTGTTTCTTCTCCAACTGAGATAAATAACTCTGTGGACGCACTCTTTTAACCTTCCAGGAGAATTCTACCTCATTAGATAGAATTCGTAGAGCGCAAGCTATAAGTATGGATATGGGTAAATTCATCCACATTGACGTACTTGTATCTGCATTAATAATAATAATTAAAAAAAAAACAAATATAAATAATCCGAAAACATAGTAAACTAAAAGAAAAGTGATAAATTAGACCCTTAATCGAAACCAAATTTAATAAGCCTGTAAGGTCCTCTGCAATTAGTTTGCTTCGAAATTAAAAACACTCACTAAGCAATGAAATTTATTAAAATAAATCTACTTAATTTCATCAGCATTGAGCTTAGTTCACTTAGATTTTCCAGTTCACAACAATAAAAAGAAAAAAAAAATCTAAAATAACTTTAATTTCTGACAAATAATTCTATAGTAACCTAAATTTCAAAAAAAATTGCACCAAAACAACGACGAATTGTACCACACCATTAATTCCAGCTGAAATGCAACGAAAATTCAAAGCTGAGAAAAGACGGCGTAACTTAACCGGACAAATTCCAAATCAAAATTCAACGAGCAAAGACCGAGTTTTCGGAGAGACTTACGAGATAAGAAATAACAGACGGCGAATATACACAAGGCCCACCACACCGCACGTACTTTGGCTTCCTCGATCAGATCTTGTATCGTCTCCATCGCCTTCATTGTCACTCCAATTCTTTTATCAAAACTTTAAATACGAAATTTAAATCTTAAATTAAACATCAATACAATTATTTCTCTCTCAATCTCGATAATCGCAGAAAATAAGGCCTTGTTTGGTTAAAAAAACAAAAAAAGAAACCTGATTAGTTTCAGAGAAGCAACCAAAGAAGACAGACAGTATCTGAATTTTAATTTCGGTTAAGTGTTTTGTTATTATTTTGGTTTTAAGAGGAGGGAATTGATACGTGGGAAAGAAAGGAGTTAACGCCGTTAAGGTTGTGTCTCCGTTACTTTACACGTGTAAAGTTTGGATCTTTCGGTCTCTGTTCACTGTCCTAAAAGTTTTGCTCCAACTTGCTCTATTTGTCGCCACGTCAGCGTGGCAATCCAGGGTACATCATTTATGTATGTAACGTTAAATATAAATAATTGAAAATTAATGCTGTTTTTTATTTTTAATAAAAAAACCCCATAAAAGAATAACTATAAATATAATAAAATATCACGGGAAATAAGTTTTACTTCCAGTTAAATTCGTTGCTTATAATTATGTAAGATTATAACCACCCCTAGGTCATCGGGTGGGGGCAACAGGAACTCTCGAATTTAATTTTTTTTTAGTTATTACAGGGATGATCATTTGAGGGTTTATCCAATCATTAATTTTAGAGTCTTAAAAAATTAGTTAAAGGGCATGTAAACTGGCTCAGATATTTTAATCATTAAAAAAAAAAAACAATTATATGCTTACTATTAGTAAAAGCTAATAAGGGTGGCTACTAGAGATACCCGATCATTAAAGGAAAAAAAGAAAAAATATTATGCTTGGTATTAGTAAAAACTAATAGAGGTGCCTAATAGAGTATGCTTGGTATTAGTAAAATTATGTAGATTGATAGGTGAGTAAACGATTTTTTTTCTCCACCCAAATAATGGTTTAATGACATTTTCCTCCCACAAACTTTTAAAATACCACTATACTATCTAAATTTATATTTTATTTTTTATTTCGGCATCGTTACGACCTTGCACCACCACAATTCTTTTCCCTTATCATCACTTACCAAAACCCCTCAAACCTTACTCCTGTTGACTCTGACAATCGTCGACAATCGAGCTATTAGGGTTTGTGCAGCAACCTCTCCTAAGTTAAATTTCAATCAATCCAAACCACCAAAATCTAATATTCTACCATCAAAAGACTTATCGACCTCCCTCCTTCAAAAGCCCCAACAGTCTTGACCAAATTTTCTCTCTATTCGCTATCAGAATAAAAATTTGAGTAGTAAAATAGTATTTTAAAAGTTTATGGGTAAGAAAGTGTTATTAAACTATTATTTGGGTGGGAAAAAGTGTTAACTCATTGATTGGTTGGCAACTGGGGGGAACGTGGACAAGGTGGGCAGGTTGATTTCTGATTTGGGACCAACTCAGTATTCTCATATTCGTATCATACATTATATATTATTTTGTCTCATTTTCAGATTAAATTAACTTCTTATAATTCGTCTGCCAACTTATTCCAACGTGGATGCCGAGTATGTCAAACATATTAGATTTCAATATTCAGCTATTGAGGTGAATAAAAAATGTAATGGATGGTACAATATAATGTTCATAGGAGACAAAAGTATAATGGGCATGAACAGGGATAGATCCAGAAATTTCTGTTAGGGTGGACCAAAGTAAAATTTAATTATACATTAATACTTTTATCTATTAATATTTTTGTTAGGGTGAGCCAAAATATATAAATTATACATATTAATATTTTAAAAAAAATTGAGGGTGGGCCAAAGGGGCTGGATCCGCCCCTGGGTATGAATCAACTATAACTCAATCATAAGAGTTAAGGACTTTTTCCCACCTAAATAGTAGCTTAATAACACTTTCTTACCTGTAGACTTTTAAAATACCACTTTATTATCTAAATTTATATTTCAACGGCGAACAGAGAGCGAAGTCGGTCCATACTGTTAGGGTTTTTGAAGAGGGCAGACTGATCAGTCTTCTGGTGGTGAAATGTTGGATTTTAGTAATTGAGATTGATTAGAATTTGACTTGGGAGGGGCGACTGTGCAAATCTTAATCTCTCGATTACTGACGATTGATGGGGTCGGCGGGAGTAAGATTTGAGGGGCTTTCATGAGTGATGATCGGAGAAGAGAATGATGGTGATGTGGGGTTGCAATGATGCTAGAGTTGGAAACATAATTTAAATTTGGGTAAAAAAAATGGTATTTTAAAAATATATTGGTGGCAAAGTGTTATTAAGCCATTATTTGGGTGAAAAAAAAATCATTTACTCTAATCATAATCAAATAGTGGAATATTTGAGATTAATTATGAAATAATTGGTCGATTATATTTACGGACAAGCCGAGAATAATTGTTCAATTCATAGTTACATTAATCTTCAACTAACTACCCACAAACTTTGGCCAAAGGCTAAATATGATGATGATAATTTTAAGAAAATACTCTAAAAGACTAAACGACTTTTTTCCACTAAAAAAGTTTCAAGATATCACTTTTCCACTTACCGAGAGTTAATATTCCGTCACTATGAAAAACTGATTTCAGTGATAAAAATTCACCCCGTCACTACCATTTGAACCTCCGTTCTCTTTTCTACAAAACTTCTCTCACTCCAGCACCTGATTTCTTACTGATTGTCGGCACTGCAAAGCTAGAGTTTCATATTCTTAGCTGATTTTCGACTGATTCTGATAGCAAATATTGAATTAGTTACCACAATTCAATCCATTGACCTCCATTATATAAAACCTCTCTTACCCTGGCTCTTGAGAACTTTTCAAATGTACATAATTACTTAATACTTTCTTAAGTTCAAACAGCTTATTTAAGTATTGAAAAAAAGATGTCATCAATCTCAGTAAGACCCTCTTTAATATTTACGTTGGTCTTTTATGGTTGCAGGAAATTGAAGGTTGTTCAACTAAAAGCCTCAAATTTTCGAAATATTATTTTACATTTATTACTAAACACATCATCATTATTATTATGACATGTTAATTATATTTTGTTGCTTGGCATGAAAATAAACGACTAACATAAATATATATTATACTTATTTGTGTTTAATTAGAGAATATAAAATTTTGGGCTTGAAGGCCTGGTTCATGGGAACATTTGAGCCGGTTCATCGAAACATCTGGGCCGGTTCGGAGTCATAGATTGGGAGCCCTTTAAATCACAAACAATGTGCACACAGTCACAGATTCACGATACGCCGCGTTTTGAAAACCGACTCTCGAATCCAATGTGCCACTTCCACACGGCATCCGAGAAGAAAGTCAATATAATCTCAATCTGAACAAATCACAACCGTCCAAAATATAAAAAAAATATCTGAACCTTATCCACTAACCGGGTCCCACCTTACACTTTAATCATCAAAGAATTTCAGGAATATCTTCGTATCATGTATATCTTCTTTCTCTATTTTTAAGACAAAGCAAAACTTAACCAAAACCAGAACAAGTTTTTTGTGTCTTTTAAGAGTGTTTGGACACGATGTTAAAGTCGATTGTCGTTGGTTCCAGTCCAGTTCCGATGCTGGTGGAAGCTAAAGATATTCATGGTACGAGGGAACCTAGATTTGGTTCAGTGGTTTGTCGCTCTTCACGAAACAACGCTTATAATGTTCCAAAGCTTGAACCTTTTAGCCGAACCAAGTTCGAACGTGCCGTTAAAGATCTGCCCTTGATCGAAAAATCTGAGAACGATCTTGCGGGTACGTTCTTGATGCCTGTTCTTTTTGCGAGTAATCAGTTTGTTTGATTTTAATGGTGCGTTTGAGGAGTGATAAAGCACTTTTGAAAAAAAGCACTTTCATATTAGGTAAAAGGGTTATATCGGGAAGTACTTTTACTTGGCCACTTTTGGGAAAAGCACTTTTTGTTATTGTGTAAGTTAGTAGTTGTTTTATTGTTTAGTTTAAGTGCTGATTTGCTATGGTTTTTGGTGCAGATTATTGTTCAACGCTTGAAGGAGATGATTCTTACAGCTGCTGGAGAGCTTATTTTGAGCTTAAAGATCTGGAAGTAAGTTTACTACTGTTTAGGATTGTATGATCTCATGTTTATAAAGATGACAAAATGTATTAAAATATTATGTTAAATACATTTGATGGTTTCAGGAACCAAACTCATAGTTGAGTACTTCATCTAGGCTTGGTTAATTAGTTATACTACATATGTCCTGTTTGGTTTCTAGGAAAATGAATGATTCACATGGAAAGATTGAAAAATAAAATCTGAGCTAAGTGTGTAAGATTCTTAATAAACTTCCCCAGAATTTGAATCTAACCTTTATATCTAATTTCTATGTTCTCCAGAGGGAAGCGCCGAAAGAAGATGTTGAGAAACTGATTCTGCAAGCGGGTGGTGTAAAATCCTTAATCGGATACTTACATGGGATTTCATCGATCCACAAGGGAAAACATAATGAATTTGGTTTGGCAAAGTCATCGAGTGCTGAAAAAGAAGGAAGTAGACCATTTCATCATGTACCGGATGGATTGCCGAAATCATCAGAACAGCTAGAGGAAGAAGAGAGAGGAAGATTGCCGGACTCTCCTTACACAAGATTGCTTAGAAGTAAGGGAAGGTTCCCTGCATGGTATTCCCCTGTCCCCGACCATGAAACAGATTGATAATCAGCTAATGCTATTAAAAGCAGAGGAGTTTATTGAGCTTGTGTTTCTGTTTTGGTTCTCTGTAGATATTGTTCATAGAGTGATACTTTTGATTCGGTTGTTTATCGCAAACTACTTTCATGGTTGAGATATCTGGTTTATGCGACGATTTAGAGTTCTTTGTAAAATTATATCAACTGTGTAAACTCCTCTTTTAAGTAAATACTTTGCGCGAGCTTTGTCCGTATTTACCATTTAGCATATATGTATCAGCTGATAGGTTAGCCATGGCCATTTAATGCTTCCATTGCATTTTGTTTTGGAGTTTGCTACCATTTTCTTAGTTCTACTAGTACAGTTGATATCTGGCGATTTGTAAATTACAGAAAGGTAGTACTGATTGATAATTCCTGTTTTGTTCACTATAATTTGATTTCATTTTGATGATCATCATCACTGTCGAAGACAAGCAAACCTGTATCTAGTTTCTTCCCAGGTTTGTGGCTTCAGGTCACTGCAGATGCTTACCAGTATTTTCCAGAAATCATTTATTTATCTCAGTGCCATCAATATCTGACATATGACTAAACTAGACTAGATATTCATAAAAGTCGATAAACTTAACAAGACAATGCAGCTTGCTCTGGCAATTACTTTATGGTCTCATCAACATAACATCCTCCAGGCTCAGATGCCCGTATAATTGAGATATTTTTTAAGACTTGAAACTTTCCTGCAAGGATGCAATTTTGCTCTTAGTGTTTTTCCTTCACTTACATCCTATCAATTAGTGTTTTAAAACCCCGTTCGTTCGGTTAAACTGGGACTTGGGAGCTTCATCGGATCGGGTTAACAATTTTCTTATTCACCTAAAACCTTAGAATCTAGGATGATGATTGGTGAATAATTGAAGCTGAGATGTTGGGGTTTTTGAAAAGAAAGTGCCGGTGAGTGAGGTGGTGGTGGAGTTGATTTTCGGTAAGTGAATCGATCGGAAATCGAAAAAAATAAGCGGTAGCAATGGCTGACAATAGGCGAGGCTAACCATGGTGGGGTGAGGTGGGTTTTGGTCGGGAGGCAGAGGGGAGTGTTTTTGGGGTGATGGGGAGAGTTGTCGATGCGAGCGTTGGTGAGATTTGGCTTGGGATGTTAGCGTTGGTGAGATCCAGCAGAAATCGAATTTTAGGCTTCAACTAAATCTTGATTAGATTTTCTAGAGAATGGGCTCAAGGGATGATTGTGATTACATATGGGGTGTCTCCACCGCCAACCGGTCGACTGCCAATTTGTATTTGAGGTTTGTTTGTTAAATTTCAAACTTATAAGAACTTAATGTAATTTTTAAGGAAGTATTTGTGCATTTTAAAAGTTTTGTCACCGGTTTAACCGGCCGATCAACCCGGAAACTTTGCCAGGCTTCACCTTGGGTTGGTTATCCGCTGTCAATCATATTTCATACAGGCATAACTTACAATTTTTTTTTTTTCAACTTTTATATATATATATAAAAACAGAACTTTGACGATTCCTGAGATAAAAGATTACTTAAAATGCTACAAAATATTTGATCTCTAGTATCTGCCACTTGTAAACAAATCAGAATCCTGAGGGTGTTGAAATTTCTGTTTCCTCAAAGCACTCAGAATCCATCAATCCTCTATTTTTAGCAGTGCTTCAGCTTAGAAATCGCAATTCAATTGAAGTCCATCCCCAAACTTGGAGGTCTAAAAATAGATTACCAAAAAAATTATGGTCTAAAACTCAGCCAAAATTCCCGTGAAATATCAACCGTTCGCTCCTTATAAGAACCCTTCCCTCCGTTTGTCTCTATAAGCAGCCTTGGGCTTCCAAGGAAGAACAATAAGGTACTGTACAATAGTAATAATAATATGCCAAACAGCATCAAACACATTAAGGCCTCCGGCTGCTTCTATTTCTTAATTTTATTTTCTTCCTTCTCAATAATTTCTCATGCTCTTACGGATGCTGAGGCATCTTTTATTGCTCGTCGTCAGCTGTTGACACTCCCTAAAGATGGAAAACTACCGATTCCTGAGTTCGAGATAGGACTTGATAAACAGTTTGAAAACGATAGGCTAAAGAAGGCGTATGTGGGGCTTCACGCCTTCAAGAAGGCCATCTACTCCGACCCTTTTAACACGACCGGTAATTGGGTTGGACCAGATGTGTGCTCATATACTGGTGTGTTTTGTACACCGGCGAGTGATGACCCCAAGATCAGAGTTGTTTCTGGTATTGATCTTAATCATGCTGACATTGCTGGGTATTTCCCGGCTGAGCTCGGGCTCTTGACAGATCTTGTGCTGTTCCACATAAACACTAACAGGTTCTGTGGAATCATTCCAATGAGCATGTCATCCCTGACCTGTCTTGTTGAGTTTGATATCAGCAACAATCGTTTCGTTGGTCCTTTCCCGAAAGTTGTTCTGTACTGGAAAAAGCTCAAGTATCTTGATATCCGATTTAATGATTTTGAAGGCGAGCTGCCTCCTGAGGCCTTTGAGCTGCCACTTGATGTATTTTTCATCAACAACAACAGGTTCTCGTCTTGCATTCCGGATACAATCGGAAAATCAAATGTATCTGTTGTTGTATTTGCTCATAACAGGTTCTCTGGTAGCATTCCCACAAATCTTACCAAGATGAAAAACTTGGCTGAGATTCTCTTAATTGACAATCAACTTGGAGGTTGTCTGCCACAAGAATTCGGAGAGCTTTGCAATTTGACTGTATTTGATGTTACCTTCAACAATCTCTCGGGAAGTTTGCCTAAGAGCTTTAAAGAGCTGAAAAATCTTCAGATATTGGACCTTTCACATAATCAACTAATAGGTAATGTGTCAGAGGAGATCTGCAAGCTACCGAAACTGTCGAATTTCACATTCAATGATAATTATTTCGAGGGAGTGAGTAAAGAATGCAGTTCCGGGAAGAACTTTGTGATGAATGATACAAACAACTGTTTGGCTGATAGGCCTGAGCAGAGAATGCCAAATATATGCTCTGTGGACCGAAATGTGGATTGCAACGCGATCTATGAGAGGTGTGGCGGCTCTGTGCCACCTCCATTCCATACACCTGTTCCCAAGCCAGCTGCACCTACTGTGCCATCACCTGATCCACATAAGCAATCTCCAGTGAAGCCTGCAAAGCCTATACCGCCAACCTCTGATCCTCAACCGTCAAAACCAGTAGCTCCTCAGCCACCGAAACAAGCGCCGCTACCTCCACCACCAACAAATCAGTGGTGGCCATGGACACCAAAACCACCAACACAGGCACCACCTAAGCCATCATCTCCAATTCCTCAGCCACCAAAACAGTCCACTCCGGTGCCATCGTCACCAAAGCCTGTGGTTGAGCCACCGAAACAGTCCACTCCGGTGCCACCATCACCAAAGCCCGTGGTTGAGCCACCGAAACAGTCCACTCCGGTGCCACCGTCGCCAAAGCCTGTGGTTGAGCCGCCAAAACAGTCCACTCCAGTGCCACCATCGCCAAACCCTGTAGTTGAGCCACCAAAGCCCGTGGTTGAGCCACCAAAACAGTCCACCCCCGTGCCACCATCACCAAAGCCCGTGGTTGAGCCGCCAAAACAGTCCACTCCAGTGCCACCGCCACCAAAGCCTGTAGTTGAGCCACCAAAACAGTCCACTCCGGTGCCACCGCCACCAAAACCCGTGGTTGAGCCACCAAAACAGTCCACTCCGGTGCCACCTCTGCCAAAGCCCGTGGTTGAGCCACCAAAACAGTCCACTCCGGTGCCACCTCCGCCAAAGCCCGTGGTTGAGCCACCAAAACAGTCCACTCCGGTGCCACCCTCCTGCCAAAGCCCGTGGTTGAGCCACCAAACAGTCCACTCCGGTGCCACCTCCCCAACCCGTGGTTAGCCACCAAAACAGTCCACTCCGTGCCGCCGCCACCAAGCCCTGTTGAGCCACCAAAAGTCCACTCCTGCCGCCGCCGCCAAAGCCCGTGGTTGCCCCCCAAAACAGTCCACTCCGGTGCCACCGCCCCCAAAATCTGTGGTTGAGCCACCAAAGCAGTCCACTCCGTGTCCCCGCCGCCAAAGCCAGTTGTTGACCACCAAGCAGTCCCCTCCGGTGTCCCCGCCACCAAAGCCATTGTTGAGCCACCAAAGCATTCCACTTCGGTACCACCACCGCCACCAAAGCCAGTGTCACCTGTAGCTGACCACCAAAGCAGTCCACTCCGGTGCCACCATTGCCAAGCCAGTGTCGCCTGTAGCTGAGCCACCAAAGCATCCACTCCGGTGCCACCATTGCCAAAGCCAGTGTCGCCAGTAGCTGAGCCACCAAAACAGTCCACTCCGGTGTCACCGCCACCAAAACGTCCACTCCGGGTCACCGCCACCAAGCCTGGTGGCCATGGACGCCAACATCACCACACACGCACCAACACCTCACCATCAAAACCACCAACATCCTCACCCACACCACACCCCACAAGCCGCCAGCTCCAGTGCCCCACCCATCAAAACCACCGACTTCTACACCACACCACACCCACCCCACCCCATCAAAACCGCCAACTCCAGTGCCTCAACCATCAAAACCACCTACTCCTACACCAACACCAACACCAACACCACCCCCACCAACGCCACACCATCAAAACCGCCAGCTCCAGTGCCACAACCATCAAAACCGTTGACACCTACACCAACACCAGCACCGACACCTGATCAGTAAAACTGCCGGCAAAACATTTGGCACCAACACCTGTACCATCACAGCCGCCACCTTCAGTGCCACAACCACCTAATTCATGGGGGCCATGGACTGAAACACAGGCACCAACACCTCCACCATCAAAACCACCAACTCAGCGCCAACACCATAAAAACTCCATCACCCACACCAACACCAACTCCAACACCATCAAAACCTCCATCACCCACACCCACACCCACACCATCAAAACCACTAGCTCCGTGCCACAACCATCAAAGCCACCAACATCGACACCAACTCCGGCACTGACACCAACTCCAACTCCGGCATCGACACCGACACCTAAACCACCGGCTCCATCAAAACCTTTGGCACCACACCAACACCCGCTCCAGTGGCACAACCATCAAAGCCGCCGACACCTGCACCAACAGCAACACCATCAAAACCACCGGCTCCAGTGCCACAACCATCAAAGCCGCCTACACCAACACCAACACCAACACCAGAGAAAGTGGCTCCATCAAAACCTTCAGCACCCAACACCAACACCGACACCCACACTATCAAATCCACCGGCACCAACACCTACACCAACACCAACCCATCAAAACCACCGGCTCCAGTGCCACAACCATCAAAGCCGCCAACGCCTACACCTACACCAACACTATCAAGGCCACCAGCTGCAGTGCCACAACCATCAAAACCGCCAACACCAACACCGGCACTGACACCTGAACCAGTAAACCCACCAGCTCTATCAAAACCTTTTGCACCTACACCTACACCAACACCATCATCTCCAGCGCCACAACCGCCAACTCCAACTCCAACACCTACACCAACACCTGAGCCATCAAAACAAACCCCGCCTCCACAGCCACCAGCAGTACCGGCTCCACCCCCACGTGTCCAGTCCCCACCACCTCCTCCAGTAGACACCATACCACCACCTCAAAACCAAACTACACCTCCGCCACAAGTACAGGCTCCATCCCCCCGTGTACAATCCCCACCACCGCCTCCTCCCACACAGGCTCCACCCCCACAAGTCTACTCACCGCCACCACCGGTCAAATTAGCACCTCCAACCCCAACCGCAACTCCGACCCCAACCCCGCCAACGGGCTCTCCTCCGCCAAAAACAGTGGCTCCCCCGACAGATGAAGATGACGTCCCACTCCCGCCAAACATTGGAGCTCAGTATCATTCACCACCTCCGCCAATATTCCAAGGCTATTAAGGCGGCACTTCTCTGAAAGGCTTGCACTTCAACTAATGCAACGTCAATATATGCTCTATTAGTTGATGAACTCCTCAACTTAAGGGATTTGTTCTTTTCTCTTGTATTAACTGACGAGCGGAGAAGTTTTTGAGAAGTTTTTGTAATAATATGATTCATTATTCATTAATGGGTAATATATGATTTTTTTTATTAACAGTATTTATAATTATATTTCGTCTCTCTCTTCCTTTCTAGCATTATATTCAACTTCAAGCCGACAAATTCTTAACGATTATACGAATAACAAAGAAGAGCATTAAATGAAAACTTCCAGTAATGGAGCAATGCATCAATTTGTTTTCTTTTCCTTTTAAAAAACAAGTGGAACTGGGTTTTATACAATAATTACACAGTTCAATGGAGGAAAAACCATTACATAAACCTACTTGAAAATATATTTCGATTTATTTTAATATTTATAAATTTTTTTAATATCAAAAAATCCTAATTTTTTCATGAATAAACAGTGATTATAAAGGAAACAAATCATCCTTCTGTAATCACTGACTGGTGTTCAGAAAATTCCCTCTTGGGTATTGAATATCACATATTTATAGATATTTCCTGTTTACTTATTTGGTTAAGGTTTGTCTTGTAAACTTTCTTTCTACATTACCATTACAGTCCAAAACTTTCTAAAGCTGTCTGAAGCTTCTCAGGAAGATACGATCATAAACAATTCTGGAACCATGATTCATTGTGGATTGCCTCGTGAAATCGCAATAGAATAAAACTTGAGAAAAAGGGTCTGATTTTATGGATAAATACTTCATGAAGTTATGCAGGGACATCCTGTATTGTTGAATAGAGTGTCTACCCTGCATAAGTTAGGCAGATATACAAGCATTCCAGCTTACAAAGCTGATAATAAACATGAGCACACCATTTTCATTCATCATTGTTTTCTTTTCAACAAAACCAAGTTTATACATGATTATAAATATATTTTTTATGATTTTTTTTTTTTTTTTTTGTGACAGATACTAGAAAAAATTTATTTAAGTAGTATTATGTCACAAAAGAAAATTCATCATGAAAGGCCAGTGACAAGATTTATTGTGTTTAGATGAAAGTCCCTATTTCAGAAATGAGATAAAAAAGGTTCCATGTTGTAATAGAGAACGAGAAAATCCTAGTCCTGCAAGTCTTGAACCATCTGCAACACTCTATCCATTGCAGGCCTTTCTCTGGGATTGCGCGTGAGGCAAAGCTGAGCAATTTCGAGCATTTCAACCATGTTTTCCTTCAGAATTTCTCCCATTCTCTTGTCATATATACCTTTTAGCCTTTCTTGCTTTCTCTTCTCCCATATGTACTCTCCCAAGTTTGTCACTGCAGGTTTTTTCCCGGTTGTAAGCTCTAAGAGCAGAATTCCGAAGCTGTAAACATCAGACTTTTGGGTAAACACTTTTGTGTGTCTCAACTCAGGCGCAATCCTGCCAGCATTCCTTCTGATTATGGTGGCTGGAGGAACAAGGTAAGGCGTCTCGTAGCCCGACAGACATGCTGAGAAGTCTAATTGAATCATGACATTAGAAGACTTGATCACCCCACAAACAAGGCCTTCACCATTTTTGGTCACCTGGGTATGCAGAAAGGCCACTGCCTTGGCTGCACAAACAGCTATATGCTTTCTAGCTCTCCAACTTAATGGTGTATACTGGAGTCCTTCACTTCCTACATTGCAACAAGTCAAGTTCAATTAAGACTATCTACTCATACACACACACACACACACACACACACACACACACACACACACTCGAAACTTTTGCTCCAAAATCAAGGTCAAAAGTTCTGTTAAATCAGGTAAAATTCTTCCCCAACAAAGTAACTTAGAAGTCAAAATTAAAGCAAGATAAAGATAAAAATGTACCATGATCTTAATAATTACCATGTAACAGCTCTTCTAAGCTTCCTAAGCACAGATACTCGTACAAAATAAAAGCTTCACCACCATACCAGAAGCTGAAATGCATTGGCAGGAGCCAAGTATTTCGAATTCCTCCAAAGAAATTGATCCAAAACTCAAGAGTGGCTGCATCAACCAAGCCTTCTCGAACCATTCTCATGGTGGTGGTTGAACCACAATCAAGAACCACCTTAAACAAGGACCCCAAGGTACCTTCACCAAGCCTGACTTTTGCAAGCTGAGCCAATTCTGGAGTGTCAAATTTCTTGGCCACAGTCTTGTTTCCAAAAATCACCTTTGTGGGAAGTGCCACCTTTACTTCTAGCAAAGACACTGGAGTCACATTGGTAACTCTTCCATGGCTAGATTTGTCCCTGATAATCAGCTTTTTCCCAACTTTGATGCACAGGAAACAGGATCTCATATAGAAGGAAAACATCAGAATTTTGAGGGGCATAACAGTATGAGGATTTCTCACCATTTTCAATATCAAGTTTCTGGGTAGTTTTTCTGAAGTGCTTTGTGGAAGATGATTGATTCCTTTTGTCCCATTTTGTTCTGAAGCTTAAGTGATTCACATAGGTTTCTCCATAAAAGTATTTTGGAGTCTTCATCCAAACATCTTCGACTCTTTAAAGAATAATTAAATTAATGAACATATAATTCCATTTTTTAGACTAATTTAGAATGCAAATAACTCATAATCAAAATGTAAAGCTCATTCTTTTTATAGTATTTCAATTATTAAAACTACTTTAATTTTCTTGCATTTAAAGTAGTGGGGCCATGCCGCCCCACAACTTTTTTGGCACGGCACGAAAATTTTATGCCGTGCCATGGCCCATGGGCCACGCTGTGAGTTTAAGATTTAACACATAGATCGGTATGGCACAACTAGAGGTGTTCGGTTTCGGATACCCTGTACTTTTAAATGAACCGAAATCAGAACTGGAACTAACGGTTCCTTGAAATTTGGAATCAGAATCAGAACCGATAGTTCCGGTTCTTATATACCCAGAACCAAAACCTATAACAATGATTCCTGTGTACCCTATAAAATTTAATGACCCCCAAAAGTTTTTAAAATAGCAAAAAAAAAAACCCTTAAAAACTTACAAATACCCCCCCTCACCTGGCACTTGTTAACAAAAATAAAATTACACATTATAAATTCAAAATTACAAACTCCATTACTCTGTAAAGGTAGATTATCAAAAGTTAAATCAACTTACTTTAAATATTATAAAATATAAATATAAATGTATTCACCTTACTTTTTCTATAAAAGTTTTTATTAAACCCCCTAATATTTAATTTAATTTTATATTAGTCTTGGTTCCTGGTTCTTGGTTCCAGTTTCAGTTTTTAACTATAGGAACCGGAACCGGAACCGAAACCGTACAGTAACAGTTCCAAAAATTTAAAATCAGAATTTACTTATTGACGATTAGTTCTGGGTAAAAACCAAAACCAAACTTAGGGTATCCATCAGTTTCAGACAACCAACCGCCACCACTAATTTAAATGTAGGATAGATTTTGAGAATAACTGCACAAAGCAGAGGGCAAAAAGGGAAGACTAAAAAGACAAAAACGCTGTCGTTTTAAAACCTAATTGCGACGAAAGAGGTTGAATTGATTGCCTTCAAAACCACGTTGAGTCGTCTGGTTTTGGGTCTATTTCAACTTCATATTGAACGTAAGTTGTAACCAAAAAGCTTCATTGGTCTATTCTCAATTTAATCCAGCAGTTCCAGATCTTACTCATTGTTCTAAAGTTCCATTTTTCTCTCATTTCGATTACTGTTTTGAGCCCACAAAATGGAAGACGATAAGAACAAGAACGAGAACGAGAACGAGAACGAGACCGAAAACAAAAACCCAGAAGAGAAACAGTCTCAAAATGAAGAAACTAAAGCTGAAGAAGCGCCAGCGAAGCCTGGAGGGTGGGGAGGTTGGGGTTTTTCTCCGCTTTCAGTTCTGTCAGATCTTCAAAAGGCTGCTGAAGAGATCTCTCGCAATGTAAACTTTAACCTTCGTTTTTCTCTCTCTTTATGTTAATTAATGTGTTTCTATTAGTGTACTTGATCATTTTTTTTTGATTATATGACCTGGGTTATTGTTATTATTTCTCATTTTCAGATTGCCTTTTTTGAACTGGGATTTAATTGAAGTGTGCTTATATTTTATTGGGCATTTTTGTTTCTTTAGTTGAGAGCTGGGTGTTTTGTTTGGATTAATAAGTAGGGTTGGTTGAGTGGTTAGTATGTGTCTTGCTACACAAGGCTTGAGCTTCAATTGCTGAAGACCAAAGCTGAAGTTTCACGTTTTTTTAATATTGTAGTGTTTCTTATTGGCTAAGTTTCGAATTTAAATTATTGGAGCAGGTTAGGAGGATGAGAGCAGGTGTTTTATTTTTTTATTTTTTTATTTTTTTATTTTTTTCAAGAGATAAAATGTTTAAACATCTATAGTTTATTGCTCATCGTCCTCGTTGGATCACCTGCAATATGGTTGAGCAGTTCCTTGTGGATGCAGGCATCCGTGGCTGCGGAGAAGGCTGCAAAGAGCTTCGTGGACGTGCAAAATGAAGATTCAGAACCTCTTAAGGAAGAGGAAAAGGCAAAGGACACTGCATTTGAAAAGGAAAGTGAAGATGAGAATGAAAAAAAGCGTAAGTCTGCTTTGGAGAAATTGGAGAAAGCTAGTGAGGAGTCCTTGCTTGGCCAGGCAAGTTTTTGTTGTATATTTTGATGTTTTTCTTGTCAACCGGATATGCTATTGGTAATGCAAGTTTTGTGTTTCTGTGTCTACATTTTTACAGTTCTGATCTCTGTGGCATCATAGCTTGTTTAACATCAATATCCATCTCAGAATTGTTATGAGAAAAATGCCAATTGTTCTCGGAAACATGTCAATGATGTTGATCATAAAAATTGCTGTCAGCTTTTATTCTAATTTATTTATTTGCAGTTGCTTGTTTCTGTTGCCTAGAACTGGTAGTTTGCCTTTTTGTGCTAATTTAAAACACTTGTTAATAGTTGCAGGGTTTGAAGGTTCTTGATAATTCTGTTGAGAGTTTTGCTTCAGGAGCTTGGCAGGCTTTAGGAAGTGCATGGAAAGGCAGTACCACTTTTGTCCAGAAGTATGTTTAATTGCTATACTGTCTAATAGATAATTTGATCATTAGTTGCACTCATGGGGACAAAATGATGGTGAAGTTTGCTAACTGAAGAGAGTTTCTGGTCATGCTCTTTTTTATTCCCCCTAAATGAATAAGCTAGTTGAGAGTGTGGTTGTATAGTTCTGCATGATATTTTATGAATATATATAATCTGGTAAAGTGAAATAATATCCTATTAGAGTGTACCCTGTATGGATTGGTGATGATATCAAACTGCTACCCTGGCTGGTAGTTCCTTATCATTTATATAGAAAGTCATAAATTAGGATAAAAATGAGATGTGCAAGTTTGAGCCTGTACTTAACATGTAGAAATGTATTTAGTAAGATTTATAGAAGTGTTTGATTTAGCAAGTGGATGGTCTTTAGATGTTCTTGTTAAAATGTTGAGTTAAAGTAAAACTCATACCTTCCTATATATGCTAATTTATTTCCTTGATTGACTACTGATATCTTATGTTGTGAGCATACTGCATGTGGGAATAAAATTAAGATACATGAATTTTGAAATTAAGACTCAAGCTGCAGACTCATGTTGACAAGTTTCTCTGATCAATTAAAATTCTTCCTTTTGTTCTCTAGGCTTGAGCATTCTGTGAACCTTGCGGGATCTGTTCAGCAGGGTGGGGAAACTGGTTCTGCTGCACCATCCTTGATAGAGGTTTTCTCAACCCTCGTCTTCTTGTGCAGTAATGTTGCTTGACTGCTAATCCAACAAATCTATTTTGCAGACTGGAAGAGCTTTTACAGCAAAGGGAATGCAAGTGCTTGAATACGTTGGCAAGGAGACTATTGATCTACTGATCACAGAGACTGGTATTGACATTGAAAAGAATAAAGATTCTGAACAGGAAGGTGATGAGGATCAGTTATCTGAGGAAGTGACATTTGATCGTTGCTTCTACATATATGGAGGTCCAGAACAATTGGAGGTCACTTTCTCATCCTTGAAGTTGAACTTTGCACAGTGAAATATATAACCGTTAATAACATTGAACCATGATGATGTCAGGAACTGGAGGCATTGTCCAACCATCATGCACTCTTATTTAATAGAAGAAAAGCAAAATTATCATCAGATCAGAAATCTGTGTATGATGGAAACCTCAAACTGGTTCAGAAAATTTTTAGCTTGAGTACTGAAATGGATGGAAGTAGTGCTGAGTCAGATAAAGGAAAAAAAGTAGAAACTGGAACTGAGGGATGTGGTGAAGAAATGAAGAATTTACATGATTTAAGTGTCAGCAAGGCTGCTGATATGGCTGCAGGGTAATGTGCTTTGTTCTATATGCTTCCTTATTTGTCAGTTTCTAATTTTATTTTAACTTTTTTATATTCCAGTCTTATTGGCTTATGTGCTTGTTTGCCTTGATTTGTTGGTTCTATGGTTAGTATTTGGTCTTTCATTTGGTATTGCATCAAGCTCCCATTATTGACTTTTGAGTTTTTATAGTTGGCTTGATTTTGTGTTCTACTGTATAATTTCATAGCATCCAGTCAGCCGCTCATTCATTAATTTTTTTCTTTCAAAATTTGAATGCTGTATGCCAAAAATCCTGCTTTGCTTTTCCTCAAGGAATGTTTAGGTGGACCCTAGTTTTCTGGTTTTTTCATTCAATTGTGATTTCAATATCAGCTGGGCTGATATTAATGAATATTTTGAATTTGGATATATGAATGACATAGATCAGTTGGAATGTGGCCTATTTCCTGTACTTAATTTCTCTGCATTGTGCACTAGTTAATGATTTTCTTACCTTTGCAGGTTCACGAATGCATTAGCAGGACTAACTGTTAATGATATAGTTCAAAGGACTGCTGGCAGACTAGAATCTCTTCACTCAGAGGGTGTTCATGTATGGAATTAATTTGGATTTTTTAGAACCACTTTAACCTAACTGCTTTTAGTGGACTTTGCTTTTGTTTTCTGGTTAATTAGATTTGATAAGTTGATGCATGTCTTACAGAGACTCTCAGAAATGTGCTGTGTTGCTGTAACTCAATTGCTATTGCTTGGAAAATCCATTATATCAAATGCTAGCAAGGTTCAGGATGAAGATGCTGATATTGATGCTTTGAATATTGACTGGCCTGAGGATTCTGTTGAAAAAGCTAAGATAATCAGATCAAAGGCACAATCAATGACAGTATATGTGGAAGCTGTTTCCAATAGCTTTATTACAGGTTCATCGTTTGGCCCTCAAATATCGTGCTGATTAAGTAAATTGTATTTCACTGAAATGAATAATTTTACTGTGCCAATACATATTTATATGTCAAGCTTAGCAGAGATTTTGGTATTGTCAATAATGATGAGCAGTGAATTGGAAGCCTCTCAAATTTTTTTTGACCATATTCATAAGGTCTAAAATTTTTTGTTTTTTTTTTATTTTTTTATTTTATAAGCTTAATACTTATACTGTTATATTTGTATTTTAATTTTCTTAAACTTTTAGTAACCCACAAAACATGTCCTTTGCTAGGGAGTGTTGAGGAACACTGAAAAGATACATGTCCTTGATGTGTCCTTGCTCGGAATTATTTGTATATTCCATGCATAGCGTTTTTGGTGTTTACTCTGATTAATTGGTGTTATGCTATGCTTAAGGTGTTCCCTAGTGAAGTTTCAAACCCTGTGTCAATTTTAACGATGTAGTCATCATTCATCTATGTCTTCTGACAAACTTCTTGTGCATTGTTAGAACGTTTTGTTCACTCATTAATGCTTGCTGATTGAAGAAAGTACTCTCTCTTTTTAGGCATATCTGATGTTGCTGAAGCTTACCAATCAGCCATGAAGAGCGCTACTGCGAATTCCCCTGAAGTTGCACAAACATCAGTTCAGGAAAAAGCCAATGCCTTCTCTGAAAATCTCCGTGCTGATTACACGACTGCAGTCGCCAAAATCCAAGACGGGCTCCAATACTTGTCTTATGTAGTCCTTTCAACTTCCATTCCTGCTGCATGATGACTCAAGACACTCAACTCAGTTATACCTCAATGTCTTAGTGATTCAATTCTATTTTGTACAGAGTAGCATTTGTAGTGTGTTGGTCCATGTTCTTGTTTGGAACCTTATGTCATGCAACTGAAACTAAAAGTAGGAGGAAGAATTTTTATCTGTATTCCTTCAAACGTTTACAAAAACAATAAGAGCAATGAAACATATAGTTTGACATGGATTTGAGAGAGAGGATGGTACTGGATGCAATAATCTTAACCCATGTTGTATCATTCTTATCTTTTTTCACCATCTGCATTTAGAATTTAGAAATTTCATTGATGATTTCTTGGATCGTAGACTACTTTCAGCATTTCGCTCTGATTCTGATGGTGTTTCTCCAGTTTGAAGGGAAAAATGTAGATGGTATGTCGTTTTTGTCTGGATGATGCGGATGACATGCATCTGCTCTTAGACAATGCGTACTACATGTCATTCACGTCACTTACATATACAGTTCAGAAACCATACAAATAATCTCTGGGGTCGGAACTGAAGTTCTGTCTATTACTCGTCATGATCTGTGAACTTGATGGAGCTTATCCTTCCAGTTATGATGATCTTTAAGAAGGGTATTCTCTCACACAAATTATGTCTATAGTGAGAAACAAATAACTGGAAACATACCTCACCATGGCAATTAACAGTCACAGATTCACAGTTTTGCAGCAGAAGCTTCCAAACAAAATCCACCAACCAATTTTGATTTCTTTTTAAGAGATAAGATAAAATGAACTCAGTGCTTTTGTTTCTAGTTCATTCTCTATCACTAGATCCTTCAATTCAACCATGGGAGAAATTGATCCAGCCTTCATCCAACCCAATGAAAATAGACCTAAACTCAAAGTTTCTGAAGCAGACAGAATCCCATTAATCAATCTCTCTAGTGACACTGAAGAACTTGTCTTGGAAATAGGCCAAGGATGTAAGAACTGGGGTTTTTTTCAAGTTATTAATCATGGGGTGCCCTTGGAATTGATTAGAAGAATGGAAAAGGTAGCAAAAGAATTCTTTGATCAGTCAATGGAGGAGAAGAAGCTGGTGAAGAGAGATGAAGTGAATCCTCTGGGATATCATGACAGTGAGCATANTGCTGAGAAAATGAAGGAAATTCAGGCTTGATGTTATAAGTATTTATATAGAACACAGACTAACATTGACTTATACATTTTAAGTATAAAACTTAAAAGCTGCTGTTAGTTAACAGCAGTTTATTCCTTGACACCATGAAACAGTCGATCAGCTGAATATCATAATAGACAAGGCTAGTCAAATCTCGAGTTTCTTATTCATACCACTCTAATAATAGATTTAGGCCATGGACCAAGTAACATCCACAACACCCACCTCAGTATTGAGCCCCAAAGCATGCCGTACCGCGTCAGACCCATCAACAATATCATTTCTACAAGGTGGCTCTTCATCACATCCATTCACTGAGTCACAATCATCAACAACCTTTGCTATCACATTCTTTCCATTACTAGCCCTTATCTTTATATTCTTCCCACACCTTCACCCTCCATTATACCACCCAGTCGATAGCGCCACAATCAGTTCCGAGTTATTATGATACTTTTCATCACTCTCCGATGGACCTCCCCCCTCGCCACCTTTGCTAAAATCATTGTTTGTTAGTTTAGCTTTCGTTGAGAAGGTGACGGTAGGGGAGCATTTGAATTGAGGAAATTTTTTGCCGTTTCATCTTAGTGTACCTTGTCATTTGGATTCAATGTCCTCTTAGTGAGGATTTCTTCTCATTATATAGGCACAAATGTGCCATATACAAGGCTAAAATCAAGCCTAAATTACAGCAGAAAATCTGCCTAAATTACAACCATTAAATCTGTTTATCTGATTAAATAAGGAATTGTATATATGTACAACTGGTGAAAACTAATTAAGGATAGCGTATCATGGTGACATCCCCCCTCAAAGTGATGCTAGTCGGTCAAGAAGCATCAATTTGCCTACAAGAAACTGATGACGTTGTCATGCCATAGCCTTCATAAACACATCTGCAATCTGGAGGTCAGTAGAAATATGAGGAAGAGAAATGATACGAGTGTCCAATACTTCCCGAATGGAATGACAGTCCACCTCAATGTGTTTGGTACGCTCATGAAAGACAGGATTGGCAGCGATCTGAATGGCACTAGTGTTGTCAGCATGTAGAGGAGTAGGATCGGATTGAACACAACCAATCTCAGCAAGGAGGCCACGAAGCCAAAGAATCTCAGAACAAGCAGCAGACATTGCACGGTATTCAGATTCGGTAGAAGATTTGGACACGCAATCTTGTTTCTTACTCTTCCAAGATATCAAAGAGTCACCAAGAAACATGCACCAACCTGTAACAGATCGGCGCGTATCAGGACATCCTGCCCAATCTGCATCGCTGTAAGCCACAAGCTGAAGCCAAAGAATATCTTCCAAGATATCAAAGAGTCACCAAGAAACATGCACCAACCTGTAACAGATCGGCGCGTATCAGGACATCCTGCCCAATCTGCATCGCTATAAGCCACAAGCTGAAGAGGAGTCCCAGTAGGGAAGAATAGGCCACGACTAGGAGAACCTCAAAGATATCGAATGATACGACGTACAGCAGCTAAGTGTAGATGACGTGGAGCCTGCATGAACTGACTAACCTACTGTATGGCAAAGGAAATATCAGGACGTGTAATGGTTAAGTAGTTTAAGCTCCCCACTAACTGTCGATACATAGTACGGTCGAAAAGGAGATCACCCTCTTCCTGACGATACTTCGTGTTTACTTCCATAGGAGTATCCACAAAAGAAGTATCTTGAAGACTAGCCAATGCAATCAGATCCTGAGTATATTTATGCTGATTCAAAAAAATGCCAGAGGAATCAGTATGAACTTCCAAGCCTAAGAAGTATGTAAGAGAACCAAGGTCCTTCATATGAAATGAGGCTTGAAGATGTTGCTGTAGTCGGGTGATCAAGCTAGAGTCTGTGCCAGTAATAACAATATCATCAACATAAACCAGAAGAAGGACAATGCCAAGAGATGTCTTGCAGAAAAATAAAGAAGAATCATATGTACTCTGCTGAAATGAAAATTGGAGTAAAGTGGAGCGGAATTTATCAAACCAAGCCCGGGGAGCTTGTTTCAACCCATACAATGATTGTTTCAACCTACAGACATCTGAGGAAGAAGATGATGATAAACCAGGTGGAAGGATCATGTATATCTCTTCTTTGAGATCACCATGAAGAAATGCATTTTTGACATCCATTTGATGAAGAGACCAACCTCGGGATGCAGCAACAGACAGGACAGTCCGTACCATAGTCATTTTGGCAACGGGAGCAAAAGTCTCCTCATAGTCCACCCCATATTCTTGTCTATTGCCAAGGGCAACCAACCGGGCCTTATACCGATCTAGAGTGCCATCAGAACATAGCTTGATAAAATAGACCCATTTGCAACCAATAGCTTTGACTTGAGGAGGACAAGGGACAACATCCCATGTATGGTTATCCTAAAGAGCCTGAAGTTCTTCGGCCATTGCCTCACGCCAACAGTCATGTTTAGCTGCCTTAGAATAACCGGATGGAATGGGAATATTAGACAAAGTAACATGGAGAGAGGTAGCAGAGAAACCATACCAGTCTGGCGGACGAGACACTCTGGTCGAGCGACGAGGAACTGGGATAGTATTCGGATCACCCGTAGACGATTCAGTCTGAACAGGTTCAGATGGCGGGCCAGGCTCAAGAAGGGGCAAAGCAGATTGTCGTCTTTCATATACAAGTCCAGAATCGCACTGATTACAAGAAGCTTGATGTGGAAAACATACAGATTCATCATTTTAGGATACTGGTAAACATGGCAGAGTGAGCTTTGTTGGAAAAAAAAATAAAAAAAAAAATGGTGTTTTAGCTAATATATATTATGTTTGTACATCAAGAGCAGATAATGAAGACATGATGAATGTGGCTTTTACTATCTAGCTGATAATGTTATGATAAGGTTTAACATTGTGATAACAGCATAAAGAAATCATACTACTCCTGAGAACGGTTATATTTGAAGAAAAAATTTTCATTTTGTGGGTTAATGCCAAAAGGTGCTAGCCTACCACACACCAAATTGGTGTCAATTAGATTCTTGTATCATTCTTATCTTTTTTTACCATCTGCATTTAGAATTTAGAAATTTCATTGATGATTTCTTGGATCGTAGACTACTTTCAGCATTTCGCTCTGATTCTGATGGTGTTTCTCCAGTTTGAAGGGAAAAATGTAGATGGTATGTCGTTTTTGTCTGGATGATGCGGATGACATGCATCTGCTCTTAGACAATGCGTACTACATGTCATTCACGTCACTTACATATACAGTTCAGAAACCATACAAATAATCTCTGGGGTCGGAACTGAAGTTCTGTCTATTACTCGTCATGATCTGTGAACTTGATGGAGCTTATCCTTCCAGTTATGATGATCTTTAAGAAGGGTATTCTCTCACACAAATTATGTCTATAGTGAGAAACAAATAACTGGAAACATACCTCACCATGGCAATTAACAGTCACAGATTCACAGTTTTGCAGCAGAAGCTTCCAAACAAAATCCACCAACCAATTTTGATTTCTTTTTAAGAGATAAGATAAAATGAACTCAGTGCTTTTGTTTCTAGTTCATTCTCTATCACTAGATCCTTCAATTCAACCATGGGAGAAATTGATCCAGCCTTCATCCAACCCAATGAAAATAGACCTAAACTCAAAGTTTCTGAAGCAGACGGAATCCCATTAATCAATCTCTCTAGTGACACTGAAGAATTGTCTTGGAGATAGGCCAAGGATGCAAGAACTGGGGTTTTTTCCAAGTTATTAACCATGGGGTGCCATTGGAATTGATTAGAAGAATGGAAAAGGTAGCAAAAGAATTCTTTGATCAGTCAATAGAGGAGAAGAAGCTGGTGAAGAGAGATGAAGTGAATCCTCTGGGATATCATGACAGTGAGCATACAAAGAATGTAAGAGACTGGAAGGAAGTGTTTGATTTTATGGTGGAAGATCCAACTTTCATCCCAGCATCCCATGAGCCTGGTGATGAGGAGATCAGGATGTTAACTAACCAGTGGCCTCAAAAGCCTCCAGAATTTAGGTAATATAACTTGCCTTCAAAGTATGAGATTATTCCTTGAATCTTCTGATCATGTCAATTGAATTTTGTGGCTGAAATTTAACTAAAAAATACTGTGTTGGCCAGGGAGGTATGTCAAGAGTATGCGCGTGAGGTGGAAAATCTAGCTTACAAGTTGTTGGAACTTGTCTCCCTCAGCTTAGGCTTGCAGGCTGATCGAATCCATGGCTATTTTAAAGACCAAACCAGCTTTCTGCGGCTTAATCACTATCCTGCTTGCCCTTTCCCTGAGCTAGCTCTAGGTGTTGGTCGACACAAGGATGCTGGTGCCTTAACTGTGCTTGCTCAGGACGATGTTGGTGGACTTCAAGTGAAGAGGAAATCAGATGGAGAGTGGATTCCAGTTAAACCAGTCCCAGATGCCTTTATCATTAATGTTGGTGATGCCATTCAGGTACTTTGAACTAGTTTATTGAAGTTGGTTTTTCAAAGATATGCATGATTAACAAACAAATTAAACATTTTCGGATTCGCATACATAGAGTTCTATAACATTAGGTCACTATATGAATTGGATTGTTTTTTGCAGGTATGGAGTAATGATAGGTATGAGAGTGTAGAGCACAGGGTGGTGGTGAACTCTGAGAAGGAAAGGTTTTCGATTCCATTCTTCTTCTTTCCTGCCCACCATGTCATGATAAAGCCCTTGGAAGAGCTAGTAAATGAACAACACCCTGCCAGATACAGGGAATACAACTGGGGCAAGTTTTATGCTACTAAATCGCAGGATTACAAGAAGCTGATGTGGAAAACATACAGATCATCATTTTAGGATACTGGGTAACCAGGCAGAGTGAGCTTCTTGGTTGTTAAAAAAAAAAAAAAAAAATGGTGTTTTAGCTTAATATATATATGTTTGTACATCAAGAGACAGAATTTGAAACATGATGAATGTTGGCTTTTACTATTAGCTGATAATGTTTGATAAGGTTTAACATTGTGATAACAGCTAAAAGAAATCATACTACTCCTGAGAAGGTAATTTTGAAGAAAAAATTTCATTTTGTGGGTTAATGCCAAAAGGTGCTAGCCTCCCACACACCAATTGGTGTCATAGATTCAATGTCCTCTTGTGAGGATTTCTTCTCATTATATAGGCACAAATGTGCAATATACAAGCGTAGAATCAAGCCTGAATTACAGCTGAAATATCTACCTAAATTACAGCCATTAAATCTGTTTATACCAAAACTATACATATTCTGACTAAATAAGGAAGTGTATATATGTATAAACTGGTGAAAACTAATTAAGCAAAGCGTATCATGGTGACATCCCCCTCAAATTGATGATGGTCGGTCAAAGACATCAATTTGCCTACAAGAAACTGATGACGTTGTCGTGTCATAGCCTTCAAATACATCTGCAATCTGGAGGTCTATATGAGGAAGAGAAATGATACGGTGTCCAATACTTCCCGAATGGATGACAGTCCACCTCAATGTGTTTGGTACCTCATGAAAACGGGATTGGCAGCGATCTGAATGGCACTAGTGTTGTCAGCATGTAGAGGAGTAGGATCAGATTGAACACAACCAATCTCAGCAAGAGACCACGAAGCCAAAGAATCTCAGAACAAGCAGTAGACATTGCACGGTATTCAGATTCGGTAGAAGATTTGGACACGCCGTCTTGTTTCTTACTCTTCCAAGATATCAAAGAGTCACCAAGAATATGCACCAACTTGTAACAGATCAGCCCGCATTAGGACATCCTGCCCAATCTGCATCGCTATAAGCCACAAGCTGAAGAGAGAGTCCCAGTAGGGAAGAATAGCCACGACTAGGAGAACCTCGAAGATATCGAATGATACGACGAACATCAGCTAAGTGTAGATGACGTGGAGCCTGCATGAACTGACTAAGCTGCTGTACACAAAGGAAATATCAGGACGTGTAATGGTTAGTAGTTTAAGCTCTCCACTAACCGTTGATACATAGTAGGGTCGAAAGGAGATCACCCTCTTCCCGACGACACTTCGTGTTTACTTCCATAGGAGTATCCACAGAAGAAGTATCTTGAAGACTAGCCAATGCAATCAGATTCTGAGTATATTTATGTTGATTAAAAAAAATGCCAGAGGAATCAGTATGAACTTCCAAGCTAGAAGTATGTAAGAGAACCAAGGTCCTTCATATGAAATGAGGCTTAAAGATGTTGCTGTAGTCGGGTGATCAAGCTAGAGTCTGTGCCAGTAATAACATATCATAACATACAGAAGAAGACAATACCAAGAGATGTCTTGCAGAAAAATAAAGAAGAATCATACATGCACTCTGCTGAAATGAAAATTGGAGCAAAGTAGAGCGGAATTTATCAAACCGCCTCGAGGAGCTTGTTTCAGCCCATACAATGGTCGTTTCAACCTACACATCTGACGAAGCAATGATGACAAACCAGGTGGAAGGGTCATGTATATCTCTTCTTTGAGATCACCATGAAGAAATACATTTTTGACATCCATCTGATGAAGAGACCAACCTCGGGATGTAGCACAGACAGGACAATCCGTACTGTAGTCATTTTGGCATGGGAGCAAAAGTCTCCTCATAGTCCACCCCATATTCTTACTATTGCCAAAGTAACCAATCAGGCCTTATACCGATCCAAAGTGCCATAAGAACACAACTTGATAGAATAGACCCATTTGCAACCAATAGCTTTGACTTGAGGAAGACAAGGGACAACATCCCATGTATGATTATCCTGAAGCCTGAATTCCTCGGCCATTGCCTCACGCAACAGTCTGTTTAGCTGCCTTAGAATAACCGGATGGAATAGGAATATTGACAGAGTAACATGGAGAGAGGTAACAGAGAAACCACACTAGTCTGGCGGACGAGACACTTGGTCGAGCGAAAGAACTGGGATAGTATTCGGATCACCCGTAGACGATTCAGTCTGAACAGGTTCAGATGGCGGGCCAGGCTTAGAAGGGGCAAAGCAGATTGTCGTCTTTCATGTACAAGTCCAGATTTGAATCGGTCAATAAAAGGAGGCAAGTCTCAAAATGAGCAAAACATGTATCTCAGGCAAAGACTTATCATGAGAAGGAAAGAATGACTGATTTCAAAGAACACAACATGACGGCAATACGAAATCGGTTAGAGCATGGATCATAGCAAACATGCCTTTGTGTGAGTACTATAAACCCATAAATACACATCTAACAGATTGAGCAGATAATTTATGTCGTTCATGAGAAGGCAATGAACAAAACAAACACAACAAAAGTATGCATGTCAAGGTATTTAGGATGCTGATTAAAGATGAAATAAGGAGTTTCATTCAAGACACGGATGGCAATCTTTAATTAAATACACACGTAATAAAGCTTCAACCTAGAATTTAGGAGGAACAGATGATTGAAGCAAAAGAGTACGAACAACATCCAACAATGTCTATTTTTACGTTCAGCCACACCATTTTGCGGAGGTATATGACAAGAATGCTAGAGACAATGCCTTTTTGTGTGAGAAAATCATGAAACTCACGAGACATGTTTCACCCCCGAATCAGACCTTAGAATTTTAATACCAGAAGAAAATTGAGTCTCGACATAATCATGGAATTGTTGAAAACAGATAAGACCTCAGATTTGCACGAAGAAAATAGATCCAGGTATACTTTGTACAGTCATCGATGATGTAACAAAGTATTATAATTTGCATGTGAGATAACCGGAGAAATCCCCCACCATCACTATGAAATTAAATCAAAACAGTGGTTGCATGACTACCATGAGAAGGAAAAGAAAGAGAATTACTTTTACCTAATTGCATGTGGAACAATCAAAAGAGAGAGGAAAAGAAATTGATCTTTATTACCTAACAAGCCAGAGTTTATTATATGAATAAAGCAGAATTAGGATGACCCAACCGTTTGTGTCATCTCACACTTATTGTTCACAACATTAAAAGCAAATGAAATAATGTAGGAATGGAAAAATGCATAGGAAATAAATGTCCAACTTTAGGCCCCTTCGCAAGTATCTTGCTCAAACCCTGATTCTGGCACAAGACAACCCATCACGAGAAAAACGAACATCACAAGTTTTATCAACCAATTGCCTGACTGAAATAAGACTGGTAGAAAGTTGAGGAGATACAAAAACATCTCTAATGTTGAATCAACATCCCAATAGCATGAATAGGTAACTAACAACCATTAGTAATCTGAATATGTGTCGATCCAGTATAAGTTCGAACATTGCCAAGAATATCAAAAGAACTAGTCATGTGATTAGATGCACCTGAATCAACAATCCATGAGGGAGAAAGCGAACTGTTACCTTGCAATCCTAAGGCTGAAAATGTAGAAATAATCATCTATTGTACCTTCTCAGGATTAAGAGCAGGAAGCACTAGAGTACAAGAGCGAATCCACAGTAGCCTGATAGCTGGCATGACGATTCTGGGGATGAGTAGGACACTCCTTAATAATGTGCCCTGGCTTCTTATAGTTGCAAAATTTCCGTGTACGTTGGTAGCAATATGCCCATATTCCTTGCAACTGAAGCATTGAACGTTCCGCATGTCCCGTCCCTTGCCTTTTCCTTGAGCTGCATATGCCACTGAAAGATGGATGCTGAAGATCAAGCATATCATGCTTAACAAGTATAGTCATAGTTTAAAAAAAAATTCAATCAAATTGAAATAAGTAAGTAGAACATGTTACCTTAAGTCCTTAGCAACCTTGGAGACTCTTAATTTCAAAAGAAATTAAGCAAAGAGTATCCACACCAAGGGAAGAAGAGATTTGACCAAGAGGGAGATTTAGGGTTCAAAGATTTTTTTTTTTTACCCAAAATTGATATATCATTTTCTTTATATGGATCCTTTAAACAATTCAATAATTGTTTTGGACTTCCTTAACAATTCCATAATTGTTATAAGTTGTTAAACTTCTTTAAATGATAACATTGGATTAACATTTAATCACAATTAACAATTTAACTCTTAAATTGTTTACATAACAATTTAACCCTTAAATTGTTTGCAATTACAACCCCTTGTAAAATCCAATTTAATATAAGAAAATGATAATATAAATAACTTTATACCTTGTTAGGTGCTAGCCAACCTTGGATAATCAACCTCTTAGCTTATTTCTTCATTCTCCTTAGTTTTTATGTGTGACCCTCTTAGGTTCACTGTGGCCTAACCGTGGCCCAATATCACAGACTATTCGATATGTTTTCATAACTCTTTATGAACAAAACTCCCACTGATTATGGTAGGCATCTAGCAATGCTCCATAACCCCTAAGTCACAATGAAGATATACTCCAACACCCTTTTACAATCATACATGTTGTATAATCAAATCCTTCCGTTGTCTATCCTAATTAAGAATGGATTCATGGTATGTCAAAATCCTTATCTTAATTTTAATTCAATACACATGGAACGTGTCACCATGAAACAACCTTCATGTAACTTTTATATACCCCGGCGAGATTTCCCTTTTCCAATGTATCTTGACATTTGTCTAGGACTTGATATCAATCTATACCAAGTCAACGATCCCATCTTGACTATCCCTTGTCCTCACACATAAACAACACATGGCCAAATCGGCTTATTAACCATGGCATGATTACCTCATGTTTTATACACCATATGAACCATATGCGTTTATGCAGAATCCAACCGTGATATCTCAGGTCTAAGGATTAAAAAATACCCTAGTATGATCTTATGATAAATCATTGACTACATTTTAAATGTCCATGTTGATTCATCATAAATGGCCATATTCATAAACAGTTCACTA